CCTCCAACTAACCTCTGCCCCACCCCAGGCCTTCATTATACTATTGTCTGTGTCCATTGGCTATGCATAAATGCATATATGTTCTTTGGTTAATCTCTTCCCAACCCCCAACCTCTTCCTCTTGGAGATATGTTCCATGTATCCATGTCTCTGGACTTGATCGTCAGTTTATTTTGTTCATTATATTCCACATATAAGTGAGATCATGTGATACTTGTCTTTCTCAGACTGGCTTATTTCACTTAGCATAATAATCTCCAGTTCCATCCATGTTGTCTCAAAAGGTAAGAAATCCTTCTTTTTTACAGCTGCATAATTTCATGTGTAAATACACCACAGCTTTTTTTATCCACTCATCTACTGATGGGCACTTGGGCTGTTTCCAGATCTTAGCTATTGTAAATAATGCTGCTATGAATATAGGGGTGCATATTTTCTTTCTGATTGGTGTTTCAGGATTCTTAGGATATATTCCCAGATGTGGGATTGCTTGGACAAATGGCAGTTCCATTTTTAATTTTTGGGGGAATCTCCATGCTATTTTCCATAATGGCTGTACCAATCTGCATTTCCACTGGCAGTGTACTAGGGTTCCTTTTTCTCCACATTCTTGCCAGCACCTGTTTATTGATTTACTGCTGGTAGACATTCTGGAAGGTGTGAGGTGATACCTCATTGTCATTTTAATGTGCATCTCTCTGATGATTAGTGACTTTGAGCATTTTTCATAAGTCTATTGCTGTGCCTACCATTTTAATAAGACAGTTAAGTTTTCTCTAGTTCATATGTTGGATTTAACATTTGCTTGAAAAAAATTGGGGTATCATTGTTTTAGTGATCTTTATACCCATAAAATTTACATTTATATAGAACATATTAATAAAACATTTCACCTATGTCATAGACTGATGTCTGTCCTTAGACACATGGCTAACCAGGTGTGGTCACATGACTAAGTTGTCACTAGAGAATGTAAATGGAAGTGGGGTATAAAATATCTGGACCATGCCACTAACAGGAGGGAGTGACCCTGGTCACCCGTTTCTTTATCCTGATGCTCAGAACAGGAATATGATTCCTGGAGCTCTCTCAACTTTGAAACTTTAGGATGAAGGTCACACCACCAAGGAAATCTAGAATTAGTCTGGGTAACCAATTACTCTTAGACCATCATAACAGCCTTGAATTTTGCAAATTCAGACTATTATGAGAGAGATAAACTTTCATCATGTCAGAGCCACTGTCATTTGGGTTACTGTTACTTGCTATTTATTCACTTATAGGCTTAGGAAAGATAGCAATTGAGTAAAAAACTTAGATATCTGATTGTATAATAATTATTTTCCTATCAATGCAATAGACTTAAAGAATATTGTGGCTTTCAAAATTTGTTGCATTTGGTAAATTGAGAGCTATCATCTCAGCTTACAAAAAAGTGTGTACTCCACAATACTATCTTCAATTTAACTGCCATCACAAGAATACTCAGAGGTGGAACAGAAAAACTACTCTAAAGAAAAATCCCTGAAGAATAACCATATTTATAGCCCAAGGTTATAAACAGTCTTAAGTAACTGTAGACAAATGTTTCTAAAAACTTATGAAGTGAACAACATTTTATTCATTTAAGTCACAAAACACCATTACTCTGAGAATCCGTTTGAATTTGTAGACAATAATAAAGTGAATTATCTTGCTAGATTAGTCAGTGAGTAGGAATGCTTATGATTCACTACTCAGAAGGAAATAAAAACAAAGATGACTTCA